GGAGGTCTGGGGGAGGATTGAATATCCCAAGTTCAGATTCGGCGGGATGGAAGGGCAAGGGGTGTGTACTGTCTGCTTCAAGAGGAAGGGCGGGCAGTGAATACAAGGTATGTTCTGCAATTGGCGATGAACTGGTGAATTTGTCTAACCACTGACTAGATGCAAGACGCCCCGGAGGAAGTTCTCATGATTGAGCTCGTTCCATATTCAATCCTTCTTCCTCAACAACGCCACAACACACCACCTCGCTCGATTCTCCGGCCCTTCTCCCTCCCTCACAGGCATCCAGGGCCGAGTGACCACACCCATCTCGCTCGTCGCATTGACATCCCGCTCATAGATATCCTCCACCACCATCCCCATCGACTCCGCCGTCTCAAAGAACGACGCCACAATCTCCCTCCCAGTATGAAACCCAGCAACAATCCACGCCAAACCACCGTCCCCCGCCCTGCCCGCGGAATCTTCATTTCCCCACGGTTTCAGAAACCAGAGTAAGGATTCCACCAGGTTCGCATGCTGATCCCTCATCCACAGACAGTCCGCGCAGATGATGCGTGTGAAGGTGCCTTGATGCTCCGCCGCAAAGCCAATCGGTTTCTTCGCCTCGGTCTGATCGCGGCAGGTTTGGAAGAAGATACCCCATTCGTGCGGGTGGACGGATATGCGTGCCCGGATGGCGGCGTCGGCGATGTTCTGGGCGATGCATGATTGTACGGCGCCGGATAGCGCGGCGGAGGACGGGTGGTCTGTGATTGATACGGTTTCGGCCCCCGCGAGGGCGGCGATGAGAGATGGAAGGGCGGTCCCTGTGGTGAGAAAGTTGAAACTGTGTGTTGGTTGAGCTGGACGGTTTTTGATAGGTTTGAAAAGCAGGTTAAGCAGATGCAAAAGCAGCACAGTTGACAGATGCTATATATTAGGTGAGAGTTTTTGTTTAAAATGCCATGCGCATTGGCGATGGTGTCTGAATAGAGATTCCCATATGGCTAGATATACCCATACCTACATAGATCAAACTGGGAAGGGCCATATGAAGGGCAACTCTCCCAGCACAACCTACATACATATACATATACCACCCCAGAAAACAAACAAACACCATGCTCGCTAATGAACCATTCACTCACCAGCACCAACCTCCAGCACCTTCTGCCACTCACACTCCACCGCTTCATACCATCATCGTCATCGTCGTTCATCCCCCACCTCTCGCCTCTCGGCTCTCATCCGTCCGCACACAGCGCCCGCC